GGCCTTCTCAATATTTAAAGGGAATTTTCAAAGATAAAAATAATCATGCGAGAGAAGTGCACCTCTATCAGTGGCACTAACCTTTGAAAGTATGCTTGCATCTTTTACAACAAGCTTCGAGGCTTCGAGGTTACAACAAGCTTTGAGGTTCAATACAAACAAACGTAATTACTTTGTATTGAAGTATTTATACTTGTGTGTATACTTGTTTTTGTGGTCTAACTCTTCATACATATTGAGTACACTTACTGGGTTCATACAATATTGTGGTCAGGTTTCATCTAAAGGATTCATCTAAAGTTTTGGTATATTGAGAAAGATATTAAAAACTAGGCCCTCTGATTTGAGGACCAGCTTGACTAGCTCCAGTCTCCCAAATGTACAATTTGGTGATAATATACAGCGACATCAAAAACAGCCCTATTAACAGGGTAAATAAACAGTAAGTGAGAAAGAAAAATGAAAGAATGAAGAAGCATGATTATCAGTAACAATTTGAAGCAATTTCACTGGAAATTATTATTGCTGAGTCCACATTTCAACACCTTATTATGCAATATTAAACACCTAATTTTAGAAAATTGATGATTTGCTAGAAATCAACTATAATAAATGCCAAACTTTTTCCCATAATATAAGCTCTCGAAAACAACCTGCGAATTCCAAGAATAATTAACTCCGATAATATGGAGCCCTAATCTTAGCAGATCAAAACCATCGAGAGTAGGTATCATGTTTCCTTCAATACAAAGCTGTTGACAAGAGGTTAAGATATTTTAATTTAACTGATGTTGATATAGTCATTGAGGTCGGAAATGCAAGAAAAGAAAAGCTTGATAATTTAATAAAAAAAAGAATACAGGTTGCTTTTGTAAAAACAAAATAGCAGCACGATCATATAACTTTTCTATACAAATCACATACACAGAGCACCAACATATTGGAAACGGAATAAGTTCCTTAAGCAACATGAACACCCGACACATAGAGTTTATATTGGAGTGCCAGATTACCTTTTGATCTTTGTTTTTTGACCACCACCTGCCGAACAGGAAATGCATCCCTTACCTAGCATGTTTGTTTGCGACTCATGTGGTCATTAGCATGGTGGTTACATTGTTGATGAGCATGGTCGGGACTGGCCCTTCGTGAGATATGAAGTTATTCGAAAATCATTGAAACGGCATCAGCCTTAAGCATTGGCTTTTTGCCTTTCAGGAACATAGGTTCTTCATTCGTGTTAAGGAGGTATGGTAGGGTAAATCCCCCCAAAAATTGAATTTGCAATTTTGAGCCCCAAAAATCCTCTGTACTCTGAGCAACAAACCTGTGGAAGCCTGTCGTCGAGCGGCCGCTCTAAGCGGTTTAAATGCCGTGCCGAAGTGCGCCACACATTTCCTGGCGTAAGCAGTATGCACACATAAAACTTCATTTTTCTAGAATTTTGTTTCCTGTAAATTTTTCAACTTCAATGTACCTTTTCTAAAAAAGTATTGAAGCAATTTTGATGAAACTTTGTATGCATTAGCTACAACAAATTAGAAGCAATCTGAACTAAAGAAATCGCTGATTTCATAAAAAGGTGAAGCTGTAAAAACATTACACAACAATCCACAACCTCCCTGGTGTTGTGAAAGCAGTATTTTTATTTTTTTTTACAAGGACTTCATAAAAATGTAATATTTTTTTTGTTCACATGTAACCTGTGAGTCTTTACAACAACACAGCTGAATACAGTGACATTCCTTGCAGTAGTTGTAGGGAAAAGGTACATTGAATAAGTGAACCTCCTAAATTTGGGAGTTGACCATAGGAAGGATAAGCAACCTAGGCATAAAAACTGTGTCACTTGATACCCAGTGGCATTTTTTGTGAGCACGTAAAATTTTATGTGAATACTCGCAGCCGTTTCTAAAATAATACACTAAAATTGACATATATTTACCCTATCACACCCCCTTGAATGGACCCTAAAACGGTTTTGGCAATTTTGTACAAACACATTGGACCGGTAGGCCAAGTCCTAAAAGTCATTTAGAGGTGAAGAACTCTGTATACATAAAATCAGGCAACTAGAACGTGACGTCACAAATCGGTTGAGTTCAACGGACTACATAAGGCGGGCGTTTTCACCGAATCAGCGGGGCGTGGAATCGGCATGGCTTCCGCGATGTCGTTCACATATTTCCTGTTGTTTTCGCTGGTCAGTGGCGAAGTTCTTGATCAAAATTATGGGGTGTTTATTTTGCCGATACCATTCCAAATGTTATTTGATTGTGTTGTGTAAACTGATTTGAGCTTAATGTGTAAACTGTAATTTATTACAACGCTTTAAAGCTGCGAATTGCTGCATATTTGTGCAGATCGCTGTGTCCCGGCCAAACGCGTTTTCACCAGCCCGTTCACAGAGCGACATGCTCTGGCCATTTGACGTCACTGTGGCTGCTGATCTCATTCGCTGCCATGGGCTGTAGAATGTGCAGAAGTAAGAACTAGCTGGTAGGGTGGCGGCACCTGTCGGAGCAGATATGAAGCACTCCGCGACCTTTGTCTCTGTTGTTAGACGACATGCGTGCAACCTGTCGGTGTGATTTCGAGGTCTAGATTGGTAAAAACTCAAATCATCAAGCGCGCTCATGAGGGCTCTGTGATCGCCAGCGTTGCCAGTGTACCTCATGAGTTGAGGAAGCCCAGCGGAGGTGAGGAGGAGGGTATGATACAATTGAATTGTCTGTAGTGGTCTTGGTGCAAGGCTTGTCAATATAAATTGGTGCAAATGGTTTGATGATGCTCTAGCCGAAATGCTGACAAAACTGTGAAAAAAAAAACTAGGCTTGTGCGAATATTTGAATGCTTCGAATATTCGAACAAATAGTTGAGTATTCGAATTCGCTTTGATTCGAACTTAAATTATCGAATATTTTCGAAGTATTCGCAGTGAACGAATAAACGTATATTAATTCGCGTGTCATCGCCTGTAAAGGTGGTTTCACTGCAATGTAGGGGTGCTAAGCTAGTGAAACACCTACAACCATTTTTTTTTTTTTTTCGTGAAGTCCCTCTTCAAATTTAAAGCGGCCCTGCAACATTTACTGAACATGGTCAGAAAACGCTGCCGATCGGTGAGTCAAGGCTACCGAAAACACACGAGGCAAATATTGTAGCGCAGCACGTGGCCTGTAATTCACAATAAATTTTCAAAGCTAAAAACTCCTTTCTTTCCTCGGCAAAGGACACTACAAGCTCAAAAATCACTTGTCGCAGCCAAGAAGAAATATAAGGCTCCGGTCACAGGCGTTGCCAGTTTTGAGCATGGTGCGCTCGTTGTTACTGGGGCCGCCGGTTGTCCACGAGTACGTGCACGATCTCACTGGAAAGCTGCGTATTCGAAGAGAAAAAAAAAAAAAAAGAGGGGCTCAAGGTTACGAGGTGCATGTGGAGTATTTTCTTTCGCCGTGCCATTCCTCCCTGCTTAGCTTTCAGCTATTTCATCAAGACGAAAAGAGCGAATGCAATTGCAGCGTGCAACAAATATTTGGAACTTCGCTCGTACTAGACTGATTCTAGAAACTTGCGGAAGTAAATTTGTGAGGCAACGGCATGTTTACTGGCTGCATGGCTACATGAAAAAGTGTTGCTGGGCCCCTTTAATATAACATGCTACCGTCAAATCAATTCTCATTTTATTAAGCTTGTTATGATGGCTTATATGACCCAAGTATAATAAATTTCGAAACATTAAGTATCTTACAGGTTATTACTCACATCCTACCGAATCTACTGCTCATGGTTGTTTTGACTTCCTTTGAACGAAAGAATAAATGGCATTTGCACAGAGCCCCTATGTCAATTCAAAATAAATATGGTGCAGGTTAGTTGGGTCATCATAAATATTCTTTTTTTTTATATGTCATACATACTATTCGCTTCGAACCAAAAATTTACTATTCGCACATGACTAAAAATACCATTTCATGGTCTCTTCAAAATCATATGCAGTAACAATGCCCGTGGCATCGAAATGATTCACTCACACTTGTCTGTACTTTGACTCGAAGTTAAAATCCCCACTTTCCTGTGGCGGTGTGGCCCACTTCCATTTCTCGCACTGCTGCTTGCCTAATGGTAAAGAATAACCACATATTTTTGGTTCCCTTGTAGCCAGAGCCACACCCCGACACGCAGCACCTGATATGCCTCCTCGTCCTGAGATAATGTTTTCGCTAACATAAACACACCATATCCAGTTGCTTGTCTCACACTTAACGGGCATTTTCATCCACGGACAGTGCCAGTGATCGTCTCTGTGGCGCCCTGCGCCGAATTGTGTCATTTTCGAACAGCGTATGAAGCTGGCCAAGAGTGTGACAGCGCAGTTTCGTGACCATAAGGAGTATCGAATGACTGTGGTATTAGTAAAGGTAAACTATTGGAGATATGTGTGCCCAAAAGACGTTTAGCAGTCAGCAGAGCCACATTCTATCAAAGTGTGATCTCTGAAAATGCCACAACTTTCTATATAGTACATTTCTAGGAAATTAGTTGTGTTTTGATGAGTTGTAAAGCATTCTCAACTATAAACTCAACAATGATTACAGTGCCAAAGGCATGGAGCCAAACAAGTCTGCTTAACATTCATAAAGCTGGCTTTGAAGTGCACTTTAGTAAAACATTTTCTTGCATTTTTTGCACATTCTAATGCTCAGTAAGTAGATTTGCGAGTGGTGCATAATAAAAGTGGCAACTATGATCCTCTTAGGCCGCGTACAAGCATCAGCATTTGTTCTCTGCTAAGCAATCTCGTTTTATTTAACACAATTTGTATTTCCACAAAAGGACTTCGAAAGCTAATGAAAGATGATTCATTCTTATCAAAGTAGGATGTATCAAAGAGAGCTTACCACCATGACAGTGTAGATTACTCATGATTAAATAGCTAGCTCGAAATGCAAAAACAGTTTAAAGTTGCAATTTGTATTAGAGCAATATTCGTAGACTTGATGATTTTGTCTGTGATCTTGTTTCCTGATGGTAAGTGTCTTGTTGCCACGTTTCTCTCTCTAGGTGAACGTCGTGAAATATCGAAGAACTCGGACGTTCCCGTTCACCGGAAGGATGTTAAATTATGAAGCTCATGCTGTCGATCTTTCATGGAATATGTTGTGTTACTTGTTATTTATGGCTGTATTCTGTAACTTTATTGTGTATTCGTTACTGACCCTTTCAATTGTTTCCCAACACTTTAATAGTTTATCGTTTTCTGTGTTGCTGACGCATCTGTTTTCTGTAGTTTCCAGAGTGTTCACTTTTTGGAGTTTTTTTAATGTAATGCTGTCATTCTAAGACAATGAAATTTATTGCACACAAAAGTTAATTCATTGTCAGAGGTGTTGATTGTGCTTTTGCTTAAAAATGTAAGTCATTGAAAAGTGGTCTTTGATTTTGCGAGGCAATAATTGATTGTTGCTTTTTCATTGTTTTCTACACAGTCATACATATTGTCCTTTAAGACATATTCTTTGGTTGTTTCATAATAATGTTGAAGGACTATGAAGTATTTGCTCTGTTGTACTTTACATCGTATAGTTATGCATACATTCTTGTATACTGTTTTATTTACGGCATACTTATCTATCTAAATTTATGTCAACATATCTTAAAAAATTCAAGATCATTGCAAAAAAAACTGTGGAGGGCAGTGGATTATGTTCTGTGTGTTTCACTAACTTGGTCCTTTAGTAATCAGTTACCTGTATGTTGAGCGAATCTGAATATTTGGTCAGCCAGCTCTATCTTGTGTGATAATGCTATATAGCCATTTTCAGTGAAAAATCATTTTCAGTTAACATTAGTACTATCTCATTTCTATGATGTTTCATCATTACGGCACTGAAGGTAAAATGTGAAAGCAATGGTGTCCATGGATTTTCGAATGTCTAAACATACTGTAGGTAGTTCTAAACTTGAGTCAACTTTTCCCATAGCTTTATGCTGCATAATCAAGCAGTGCTGTTGCCCTGTAAAACCTAGAATTGGATTTTACTTTCTGTTCATATGAAAATCACTATCTAATTAGGGTGACACTTTTTTTTTTTTCAGCTTCATCGTCTCTCATCTATCCAGCAACTGTGCATTCTGAGGATGCACAGGGAGGACTCAGTCACCATTGTGACTTGTGTAGCTATGAGACTGAATATCCATCTCACTTGAAACAACACATCAAGATCCACACAGACAAGCCACCGTTTCAATGCCACTTATGCCCACAGACTTTCATACTAGGCTGTGCATTGGATGTTCACCTGCGCACCCACACAGATGAGCGGCCGTTTAAATGCCTTTCATGCTCTCAAAGCTTCGCAGACACATCCGCATTATGCGAGCATGTGCGCCTTCACAAGGAGAATTATCGTTTTCAGTGCCCTTCGTGCTCCCGAATCTTTGCAGCAATGTACTCATTAAGGAATCACCTGCGCACTCATACAGGCGAGCGTCCATATAAATGTACTTTGTGTCCACAAAACTTTGCATTGAAATCTACATTCAATGTTCACCTGCGCACCCATACGGGCGAGCGTTCGTTCAAGTGTCCTTCGTGTTCACGAAGCTTTGCGGCAAAGGCCACATTGAGGGATCACCTGCGTACTCATTCGGGCGAGCGTCCGTTTAAGTGTCCTTCATGTCCACAAAGCTTTGCATTGAGGTCCACATTGAAGGGTCACCTGCGCACCCATACGGGCGAGCGTCCATTTAAGTGTCCTTCCTGTCCAAAAAGCTTCACGTTAAAGGGCATAATGACAGAACACCTGCGCACTCACACAGGCGAGCGCCCATTTAAATGCCCTTCATGCTCTCAGAGATTCGCCGGCAGGACCTCTCTGAGAAATCACCTCAAAGTGCACATCCCCTCAGACGAGAGGCCATTTAAATGCACCTTGTGCACCCAGGCCTTTAAGCAGGGACAACTTCTCAAAAGACACATGAATCTGCATGAACCAAAGTAACCATTTACATATACGTTCTAGTGTCAGAGTTTTTGTTTTGAACAGATATTGTCACGGTAAGAAAATGAGTTCAAGTAACAGTGCAGCAAACAGCAGAACGGCTTTTATCGAGCAGCATAAGTTCGTCGTTGTCTTTCTCCAGCCCAAAATCTTTCGGCACACACAAGTAATGATGACACTAGCCGCGCAATGGCCAGAAACTCACTACATGCCCGTGCCACTACTCCCCCTCTCCAAAAGCATCCACTCGATGATTTCATATGTTTGAAAGCAAGAGCAAGTCTTCAGCGTGAATAATATGGCTTTATCCTGGTCACGTGGACAATGTCTGGCTGTGCACCACGATAAGAGAAGCACACACTAAGCTCTCGGATAACTTCGTAGTTGACACCGCTGAGGCACTGAAGAACGTGGTAAGGGCCAAAATAACGACGCAAGAGTTTCTCAGAGCGTCCGCGTTGGCGTACAGTACTCCAGAGCCATACTTTTTCTCCTGGGTGGTAGGTGATTTCTCTGTGGCAAAGGTGTTACCTGTCAGCATTGTATTTTTGCTGAGAGCGAATGCGCAAGCGAGCTAGTTGTCGAGCTTCTTCGGCACGCTGCGCATAGTGGTCAGCATTTTCGGTGGTAGTCATAGAGGTGTCACGTAAAAGCATGGCGCCTAACATCGTAGTAAGTTCGCGGCCGTGAAGCAGGCGGAAAGGTGTAAATCCTGTAGTTTTGCTCAGCGGTGTGATATTCGAAAGTTACAAAAGGGATGACGCTGTCCCTGTTCCTTTGGTCCACTTTAACATACATGGAAATCATGTCTGTGATGGTCTTATTGGGGCATTCTGTTAAGCCGTTAGCTTGCGGATGGTAAGCGTTCGTCCAGCAATGTAAATTGCCGCTGAGTGTCATTACTTCTTCCAGCAGTCGGGCGGTGAAGGGCTGTGCCTCTGTTTTTTAGAACCACGGCCGGTGCACCATGGCAAAGGAAGACAGCATGAATGAAGAAGTTCACGACATCGCTTGCCGTACCCCGTTGGAGTGCTCGTGTTTCACAGTAATGGGTTAATTAGTTCGTCACAATTATTCAGCGATTACCAGCTGAAGATTTCGGAAGTGGACCTGGCAAATCCATGCCAACTTGTTGAAACGGAGCTCGAGGTGGCTCCTTAGGGTGTAAAAGACCAGAAGGTCTCATGGGCAGAGTCTTGCGACGCTGGCAGTCTCGGCAGGTTTTGACGTAGTGCTTGACGGTATAAGACAGTTTGAGCCAGTAATACTTGTGGTGGATATGAGCTAGGGTGCGCGTGAACCCTAAATGCCCGGAAGATGGTTCGTCATGGCACGCCTTGAGGATGTCGTCTCGCATCACATATGGTACAACCAGTAGAATGGCTCGAGCGTTGGGATCAATGCTTCGCTTTTACAAGGTGTTGTCACAAAGAAAAAATAATGAAATAGTGCACCTGAATGTTCTTGGTGGCTGTTCAAGCTTGTTCTCGAGATATTCGATGATTGGGCGAAGTTCTGTGTCATCACGCTGTTTCTGAACCAAGTCGGAGGCTGTGACGGCCATGCGGAAAGTTTCATTGTCAGGTCGATCAAGGGCAATCGACTCGACTGGGGCACGTGGTAGGCAATCAGCATCGATGTACTTGCGTCCTGACTTGTAAATTACCGTAACGTCAAATTCTTGTAGGCAGAGACTCAATCGTGCGTGGCGGCCTGAGGGGTCTTTGAGGCCTGCAAGCCAACACAAAAAATGGTGGTCGGTGACCACTTTGAACAGTCGCCCATACAAATACAGTCGGAACTTGGCTATGGCCCACACGACAGTGAGGCATTCCTTTTCTGTGTTGGAATAGTTCCCTTCAGCCGATGGCAACATACGACTAGCGTTGGCAGTCACTCGCTCGATGCCTTCACGGCTCCGAGGCCAACATTACTTGCATCTGTATGCACCTCAGTGTCGGCATTTTCGTCAAAATGACCTAAGATTTGAAGAGTCTCGAGGCGTCGTCGAAGCTCACAAAAAGCTTTGTGTTGTTTTGGGGCCCACCTAAAAGCAACGTTGTCTCTCGTGAGTTGGTGTAAGGGTTCTGCTATTTCTATAAGTTCATAACGAAGTGACGATAGTACGCACAAAGTCCCAGAAAACGGCGTACGTCGTGTTTGTTCGTTGGAGTTGGGAAGGCAGCTACAGCCAGTGTTTTCTCGGAATCGGGGCGAATTCCGTCACTGTTGACGACATGGTCGAGAAACTTGAGCTCCCCGTTGCCGAAGTAGCATTTTTCAGGCTTGAGTGACAGGCCAGCTGTTCAGAGTGCCTCAAGCACTCGAAAATCGCTGAAAAAAACGACGTCATCTAAATAGACAAGACACGATTGCCACTTGAGATCAGACAAAACCGTGTCTATCATTTGTTGAAATGTCGCGGGAGCAAAGCGCAGTCTAAAAGGAAGCATCTTGAGTTCGAAGAGCCCGTCAGGAGTAATGAATGCGGTCTTTTCCTCGTCGCGCTCATTGAACTCAATTTGCCAATAACCACTGCTCGATCCATGGATGAAAAATATTAGGTGTTTCGAAGTCGGTCGAGTGAGTTATCGATGCGAGGAAGCGGATAAACGTCTTTCTGTCACGATGTTCAGTTTGCGATAATCAACATGGAAACGGAAAGTGCTGTTTTTCTTTTGCACCAACTGAACCGGTAATGCCCATGGGCTTGTAGATGAGTGAATGATGTCGTCAGCTTGCATTTGGTGCACTTGGTCGTGAATGGCATCTTGTTCTCTGCAAGAAATATGATAAGCATGTTGTCGAATAGGCATTTCGTTGGGCCTATTCGACAACATGCTTGTCGTGCATGTTGTCGAACAGGCCCAAGTAACAGTGCAGCAAACAGCGGAACAGCTTCGATCGAGCAGCGTGAGTTCGTCGTCTTTCTCCAGCCCAAAATCTTTTGGCACGCACAAGTAATGATGACACTAGTCACGCAACAGCCAGAAACTTGCTACATGCCCGTGCCAATATGACCAATTGTTCTGGAGCACTGAGAGAGGGCCGAGTTACATAAAACAATATTTATTGAAGTCGTGGTTCGAGCAGTGATGGCAAGGCTACATTATTGTCACTGTAACATGATTATGTATGCAGTACTAAGGTGGGGACAAATAGCTCTAGATGTGGGACGGTGATAGGGCGACAGACAGCAGTGCCCTGTTGTCCTGCTATCATCAGCCCGGGTCTAGAGCTGTTTGTTTCTGTCTTAAATTCCAATCAGCCCAGTTAGGTGCACTGCTGATGTATAAGTAAAATGTAAGCAGAACATTTCACTCCTTTTAAGTGCTTGTTTACACTGTTCTTTGCTGGCCAGCTTTAACACAAGGCTTTAAGGAATCGTCGGGATTAACCCAGTGATATGCCCGAGCAAAGCACTATTAAGCTTAGCTTTCTAACTGTTTGAAGTGCTCGGGTGTAATTTTTTTTTTTTTTTTTAGTAAGAGCACATTGTACCAGTTGTTCTGAAACACTGTGAATTTGCTGAGTTATCTAGGGTACTAATAAGTGCGAATTAGTCTGAGGACACTGTACGCATTATCTCGTAACTCATGTAGCGATTCACATAAAGCGCAAGCACAATAAGATGCTTTGACACCCCACACTCGGCCCTCAAAAAATAGCACTTAAGAAAGCATGCCGCCATTACCGACTTGAAGAGTTGTGGGGAAGGGGGCAGAAATCGAGTGGAGTCCACGATATGAATGTTGAAAAGCTATTAGTGCGGCGATGCCGTCTGTTTGCTCAGCTTTGTTATAATTTTTCATCGTGTCTGAATTGTGAGAGCTAGTGTTTGCATTCGTCATGTGCAGTTCGTGTTTGCTTGTGCACATGTGACGCTGCTTGATAATTTAACCAGTATGGGAACATCTACTGCTATGTATTCTGCCGCTAAAACTACACGCCTCGCATTGTATGAAGCATTAAAATTGGCTGCTATATGTATCAGCTCTGGCTGCACCTTTCGAGCAAATTATGACTTTTTGTTTGCTCCTCTGTGTTTAACTATAGGCTGGCTTCACTAGACGATTCAACACAAGCTAACAAGTCGGTCCATTGTTTCCATTGTATTAGGACTTAAGTGTTGCCACCTATGTTGAATGCTGCACGGTCTTTTCTTTGGATATTGAGACCACAGCTAGCCACAGTGTCTCTGATTGCGTAGTGTTACTTTGTACTGTTATTACATTTGAGAGCACTCACTCAATATCTTAGTTTTCTGAGGACTTGTGTATGTGTTCAGTCTATACCAGTGGTCTTCAGCACATTCACTGAATGCTGTCTGTCTGACATTCTCAGATATTAGATGTCTGAATTCGTGCTAGAAAAGCTCATTTTATATGCTTGTATGTGTAAGAATAACGTGTTACATTTTTCACTTTTGGCTTATACTAGTACCTTTGCCATGTTCTGTAGTTGTAGAAATGTCTGCAGCTTTTTTTTTTGCCTATTATTAATAATATTTGGATTTTTAATATTATCGCTGTATTTAAGCATTCAGCATATTATCTATTTGTTGAATCCGTTAAGCAGTTAACTATTTGTCACTTTGTGTAAATATGTTTTATTGTGTTTAATAAATTACAGTTTTGTGATTATATTTTTGTCGTATTTTAATGATCATGTCAAATATATCATAGATAAGTGCTTTTTTTTTTGCTCAATATCGCTATCTAGGATTGGAGATGGTATTGATAAACTTATTTTTCTTGCCATTGAATGCACCTGTAGTCAGATTTCAATTCACCTAAAGTCTTGCATAATTGAGAATAATAAACATTAGGCCCTCTATTTTTCATTAGGACGATGAGGGGAAGCTGGGAGGAAAAGCCGAGGAGCAGCTTGATTAGCTCCAGTCCTCTGGAAGTACATTTTGGCAATTACAGTTAAACCCGTTTATAAGAGGCATGATCTGGGTTGCAATTATTGTCTTTTATGAAAATGTCTTTTATAAGCAGGAGACCTTGTATGTAGTTTCATATCCCCAGTATTTTACTGTAGGCATACTGGTGTCTCGTATACCCATTTGTCGCTTATATCAGTGTCTCCTATTAAGGGGTTTGACTGTATACAGCAAAGTCACAACTTTATTAACAGGGTAAACACCAAGTGAGAAGAAAAATTAAAGAATTGAGTAGCACAATGAGCAGCAACAATGGTAAGCGATTTCACTGGTAATAAGTACAAATAAGACCACATTTCAACAACTTATAATGCGAAATAATTGCTTTGTTTCGGAGGATAGGAGATTAGCCAGAAATAGATTTCAATAAATGCCATTCTTTCCCCATAAATTAAACTCCTGAAATTACTCTGCAAATTTCAACAATTACTCCACAATATGGAAGCCCTAATCTTGACACATCTAAACAATTGAGAGCAGGTATCTTGATTACTTTGATACAAAGTTGTTTACAAGAGGTTAAGGTATGCTAATCTCACAAAAACTTGATTAATCAATTAAAAAAATAAAGACAAGTTGCTCTTGCAAAAACGAGATAGAAGCATGATGATATAATGATTTTTGTACACAAAGCACCTGTAGAGAGCACAAACATAAAAGGTCCAAAATGAGTTCTTTAAGCAACATGAACACCCATGTATGGAATTTAGATGGGTGTGCCGAAGTGTTTGGTTTTACCACCAGCTGCCGGACATAAAGTGCATTCCTTAGCTTGCATCTGTTTATTTGTGACTCACGTGGTCGTTTGCGTGGTGGTTGTTTTGTCGATCAGCGGAATTGGAGTTTGCACTTTGTGAGATACGAAAGAAGTCCTTCGAAAACCTTTCAAACGGCATCAGCCTTCAGCGTTGGCTTTTTGCATTTCAGTGACATGGATTCTCCATTGATTTTCATAAGCTGTGAAGTTGTCCAAGGCGTTGAAATGGTTCGCTCCCACTCGTGTGCTTTGACTCAACGTTAAAATTGCCACTTCTATGCGATGTTATCACTTGTTTTCACTTCTCGCATTGCCGCTTGTCAGTTGGTAAAGCGATAACTTTTTGGTCCCCTTATAGCTGGATCACCCCATGTTAGGCGTCCCCGTCTCGAGACGTTTCGGCTAACATAAAAACATCATATCCAGCAGCTTGTCTCGCACTGCACGGGCATTTTAATGCTTGAACAGTGCAGAGGATCGCCTTTTTGGCACTGCGGCACCACATTGCAGTGTTTTAGAGCAGCATGCGAAGCTCATTCATAGTGTGACGATGCAGTTCTGTGACTATCAGAAGTACTGAATGACTCTGGTGTTAGTAAAGATAAACGACTAGACACATGTGTGCCCAGCAGTAGCTTAGCAGCCAGAAGAGCCACATCTTGCCATAATGTCATATCTGAAAATGCCATACCTTTCCATAATGTACATTTCAAAGGTTTTGAATCAACTTGACCCCGGACCATTTTGTGTACAGAAGATACTAAGACCTTAGGCATCTGCCTCAGTTGCGCAGAAAGCAACTAAAGCACTGCTACTTTACCTAAAGTTAACAAACCTGAGCGACCGCCTGTAGACTGTGTGTGCTCCCCGAGTGTGCTCGTGATTGTGTGTACCTTCTCATCTCTCTGCAACCTCTTTTCTCCCCTTTATCCCTTCCCCAGTGCAGGGTAGCAAACCGGATGTGCGTCTGGTTAACCTCCCTGCCTTTCCTTGCATCCTTATCTCTCTCTCTCTCAAAGGAATCCTTGGTGTTGCTGATGCTGATGACCTCTGATGGATGGCGCTTACCCACAAAGGGGGATGGACCAAGAACCGGGCGGCAGGATACTTAAATGAAACTAAAATGAAAATGAAGCCAATCTGAAAAAGTAGCTTAAAATAATACTACCAAAAAACAAAAATGTTCTGATAGTGTTCTGATGAGTTGTATAGCATTCTCAACTACAGTCGAACCCCGCTACAACAAAACTGACGGGGCGCGAAGAAAAAATTTGTTGAAGCGAGAATTTCGTTGTAGTGAAATCGAAAAAAAAATATAGCTGATTGAGCTACCAAACAAAGGAACGTTTATTCTCAAAATTCAAAAAAACGTCCGCCGCTTCCTATTCTTTCCCAGCAGCGTCACGACGTGATTTTCACCCATGCGTAGCGAGGCCGTAGTGAAAAGTACGCTGAAACAACGCCTAAAACCGCTTTCGTGAACGAACCAAACAGTTGCATTAACACCTTAACACCAGCAGCTGTCCACTGTCAAAAGTATCTGAGAACGCCGAGATGGGAGGCAGGGTATCATGGAGCGCTGACTTTTGCATTATTCTATACCATTCTTATCATCCATCACTCGCGGCTAGCTGAATTTGTTGATAATTCGGACGAACAGCCACTTTCATTAGATACCATACTGGCCAAGCGCGAATAAAATGATAAGCATTGGAATCGGGAAAAGGCATCGCGCGCGTTCGCACCCAGCAGCTGTGTGAAGGAAACCATGAACTGAGCGAATGGTGTTCTCAGTTCTGTGACTGAGCCACACCACGGAACACCTACCAGTACGGAGGAAGGAAAGGTAGAGCCACAGAACACCTATGACTGAGTAGAGTGCCTAGAATATTCTAGGCACTCTAGACTGAGCTTCAGATTCGGTCACGGTGGCTTCGGTATAGCAAGCCAGGGGCAAAACAAAAATAAGGCAGTCTCATTGCCATCGCTATCGAGCGATGGCGGCGCCCATGTTTGTTAAATAGCAACGGTATAGCAGCGATTTCTGATGGCGCCAACGCGTGTTTTAGACTTCGTTGACGCATTTTTAGGTTCTGAAGATGCATTGAAATGTTAAGGATTGGATTTACTGAGTAGAAATAAGTATCTGAGCTTGGAAATGCATTGTAAAGTTTTGTTGAAGCGAGGCTATTGAAGAAAAATTGTTCGTTGTGGCGACAATGTTCATGCATTGACTTCTATGGACCGCTGACGGGGGAACCGTGAAGTTTTTGTTGTAGCTGAAATTTTGTTGAAGCAGCGTTTGTTGTAGCGGAGTTTGGCTGTACACGACTCAACAATGATTGCAGTGCCAAAGGCATGGAACCAAACATGTCTGCTTAACATTCATAAAGCCTAATTTCAAGTGCACTGTGTTAAAACGGTTTTCGTGGCTTTTTTACTCATGCTAACGCAATGTTAGTAGATTTTTGAGTAATGCGTAATCGAATTTGCAACTATGTTGTCTCTTAGGCCACGTACAAGCATCACACTTGTTCTCTGCTAAGTGATCTCGTTTTAACACATTCTATATTTCCCATCACAGGACCTTGAGAGCTCATCATCGACCTGACGAATGTCCACTTTAGGACAAAGGCCTGTCCCATGTTCAGCCAGTCCACTCGGTCCTTTGCTTGCTGCTGACACTTTATACCCGCAAACTTCCTAATCTCATCTGCCCACCTGAATTTCTGTCTCTCCCTAACCCGCTTGACGTTTCTGGGAATCCAGTCAGTTATCCTTAATAACCAGTGGTTATCCTGCCTTGAGAGCTAATGCAAGATAATTCATTCTTATCAAGGTAGGATGTATCAAATTTAGATGGCTCCATGATTGATGCAGCACATGCTCTGAAAATAACTTACCACCATGACAATGTAGATTACTAATGATCAAATAGCTGGCTCAGAACACAAATACAGTTTAAAGTTGCATTTTGTATTAGAAGAATAAGTGTGGACATGTTATATTGCCTGTGATCTTGTTTCCTGGTGGTAATGTCTTGTTGCCACGTTTCTCTCTCTAGGTGCAAGTCATGAAATACCAACGGACTCAGACGTTCCCGTTCATCGGAAGAATGTTATATCATGAACTCCATGCTGTTTACCTTTCGTGGAATGTGTTATGTTACTTTTTGTGTATGACTGTATTCTGTAACTTTATTGAATATTCGTTACTGACCCTTTCAATGGTTTCCCAATACTTCAATAGTTCATCGTTTTCTGTGTTGCTGACGTAGCTGTTTTCTGTAGTTTCTAGAGTGCACTTTTCGGAGTTTTTTAATGTAGCGCTGTCATTCTAAGACGATGAAATTTACTGCACATAAAAGTACATGCATTGCAAGTGGTGTTGTATGCACTCTTGCTTAAAAGAACGTGAGTCGTTGATAAGTGGTTCTTGATTTTGTGAGGCAAGAATTGATTGTTGCTTTTTCATTGTTTTTCACATAGTCATACATATTGTTCTTGAAGACATATTCTTTTGTTGTCTCAATAATAATGTTGAATAACTATGAAGTACTAATGCTGTTTTACATTACATCGTTTAGTTGCGCATACATTTTTGTATACTGTTTTCTTTGCGACATGCTTATCTATCTAAATTTATGTGAGTAGATCTGCAGAAAAACTGTGGAGGGCAATAGATTATGTTTTGTGTTTTTTTAGCAACAGTGTGTTTCACTAACTTGATCCTTTAGTAATCACTTACATGTATGTTGAGCAAATCTAGATATTTGGTCAGCCAGCTCCATCTTGTCTAATATTGCTGTAAAGCCGTTTTCAGTGAAAAATTAATGTACCTTATCAATTTTGTGATGTTTGATAATTACAGCACTGAAGTTAATATGTGAAAGCAATTGTTTGCATGGATTTTTGTATGTCTATATGTACTTTAGGTAGTTCTAAATTTACTCAACTTTCCACATAACTTTATGATTCATAATCAAGCAGTTCTGTTGTCCTGTAAAACCTAAAATTGGATTTTACCTTCTATTAATCACTATTTAATTAAGCCGTCTTTTTTTTTGTTTTCAGCTTCATCGTCTGTCATCTATCCAGTGACAGTAGATTCCGAGGATGCACGTGGAGAACTCCGTCATCATTGTGACTTGTGTAGCTGTGAGACCGAATATCCATCTCACCTAAAACAACACATCAAGATCCACACAGACAAGCCACCATTTCAATGCCACTTATGCCCACAGACTTTCAGATTAGGCGGTGCATTGGATGCTCACATGCGCACCCACACAGACGAGCGGCCGTTTAAATGCCTTTCATGCTCTCAAAGCTTCACAGAGACATCCGCATTATGCGAGCATGTGTACCTCCATGAGGGGGAGAATCTTTTTCAATGTCCTTCGTGCTGCCGAATCTTTGCACAAATGTCCTCATTCAAGAATCACCTGCGTACTCATACAGGTGAGCGTCCATTTAAATGTCCTTCGTGTCCACGAAGCTTTGCATTGAAGGCCGCATTCGAGGGTCACTTGCGCACCCATACGGGCGAGCGTCCATTTAAGTGTCCTTCGTGTCCACGAAGCTTTTCATTGAGATTCTCATTTAAGACTCACCTGCGTACCCATTCGAACGAGCGTTCATTTAAGTGTCCTTTCTGTCCACGAAACTTCAATTTAAGGTGCATTTTCAGAGACCATGTGCGCACTCACGCAGGCGAGCGTCCATATAAATGCTCTTCGTGCTCTCAGAGCTTCGCCACGACGTCTTCATTGAAAAGCCACATGGTCATCCATTCAAGCAAGCGGCCCTATAAGTGCCCCCTGTGCCCGCAGACCTACACTTCACAAGGCAGATTGAATGCTCACCTGCGCATGCACTAGGAATAGCAGCCGCATGTCCTCGAAGCTTCACAGAAAGGTGCAACCTGAATCTACACGTGCGCACTCACTCAGACGAAAGGCCATTTAGATGTACTGTGTGCTCCCAGGCTTTTAAGCAGAGACCACTTCTCAAAAGACACATGAATTTGCATGAGCCAAAGTGACCATTTACATGTATGCTCTAGTGTCGGAGGTTTTTTTTTAACACATATGACCAATCGTTCCAGAGCATTGTGAGAGTGTAGAGCTACATGTGACAATAGTGCTTGAATTCTTATACATTTTTAGTTGACTTATGTTGCCTTCCTGATTTGCGCATCTGATACTTGTTTCTTTATTTTGTCTTTTTTTCTTGTGTGTTGTATATGTTGTACCCACCCCCTCTGTAATGCCCTACGGGCCCTGAGGGTATTCTAATAAATAAATAAATAAATAGTGATTGAAGTCGTGGTTCGAGCAGTGATAGCAAGGCTACATAATTGTCACTGTAACATGATTATGTATGCAGTACTAAGGTGAGGACAAAAAGCTGTAGACGTGGGACGATGATAGAACGACAGACAGCAGTGCTGCGTGTCCTGCTATTATCATCCCATGTCTAGCGCTGTTTGTGTCTTTCTTTAGTAGATTGGCCATTCAGCCCAGTTTGGCACACTGCTTATGTATGCAGTAAATGTAAGCAGAACATTTCACTCCTTTGAAGTGCTTGTTTTTAGTGTTATTCGTTGGCCAGCTGAATATTCAGTAAGGTATAGGTTGAGTAAAAAAAATGTGTATCCATAGTCATGAGTAACCCCCCCTCTACGTTGTCTATTCAGACTCCTTTTTGCAAGCCACTCACTCGAACACTGATGGGTACATATAGCACTATTATAAAAGTAGGCCATTGAATGTGTAAGTTTACATTTCGTAATAATCTTAATCCTAACATTGATGCGTCATGTTTCATGGCATTCCGAATAACTGGGAAGAACATTATCGCAGTTGCAGTTTTTGGGACACTACTTATTAATGTTCGTCATTGGAGTTGCAGTTTATGTAATGTCCAAGTGCGATATGATGCTTTTGTGCCACTCATGTGGTGTGCAGCGTACCACAATGAAAAAATTTCAAGACAGTTTGCGGTCATCATTTTTCTGAGTGGTGGGGAGTAGGAAATTGAGGTGGGCGCACCGTAGGAATCTAGGAAAGGGGTTGAGGGTTAGTGCACATTACTTTACGGCGATTTCTCTCCACAACAACATCGAGTGTTTGTCTATAAAACGAAGTGTTTGGGTCTGGTGAATATACATTAGTTCAATCTGTACATAATAACGAAATTCGTCTGAGTAGTTTTCTTAGCTGTCGACACACCATCGCCGACTTGAAACCCATGCTGGACAGCTCTCAAAGTCTGCCGCCAAGAGCTCTGCCTAAAATTCTGCAATAGCATGTTGAATGGCAAGAATAACATTGAAACTGTGACCTTTCAGGCTTCTTCTGACATTAGGGAACATGGAGGAGCCTTCTGAGCTCACATCAGGGCTCTATCGGTTCTGCATCATCCCTCACGTGGGCCCAGGAGACCTCTCCTGTTCCCGAAGCTCGAGAGAAGCCTGAAAGGTCACCGTTTTGATGTCGTTCTTGCCATTCAAAGGGCGGTCGCGGAGTCTCTGAAAGAGATTATTACAGTCGACCTATAGGGAGCCTGTGCAGCGTGGGAATCGCATATGCAGTAGGTAGCGACAGCCAAGGAAAGCTATTTAGAAGAATTTCGATTCTATGCACTGAAGCATGTCACGAAGTTCTCACTACTGGAGCCACTTTCATTGCGTTACGGACAAAACCAGTAAAAAGCAATGCCCTCACCCTACACTGCGAGCCATCTGGGGAAGCTCCAGAGGCAGACCACACCAAGACGTCTGTTGCTTCATGTTACCTTGTTAGCAGCCTCGTATCTGTGCATACCCAGTTTTAGAGCTTGCAATATTTCTGCAGCGAGAGGAAGTGCTGTGTGTTTGCTTGTGTCTCTTAGCATTGATCATCGTGCCAACTTTATGAAAAATTGATGTCTGCAGTAACTGAGTAGTGTTCTTAGTTGCTTGTGCACGTGTGATGACAAGGTTAATAACTTAATTAGAATGAAAATGATTCCTGCATTACATAAAGTGAACAAATGTAAAATTCATAGTTTGTGTGCAGTAACTCCTTATTAAGTTATTATTATCACAGGAGAACTGTCAGTTCGCCTTTGTTCTTATTTGTTGAACTTAATATGGCCTCAGATGATCATAAAGCACAACCTAGCTAGTTCTTTCATCATATTAAGTAATAGAAGAGGCCGCCAATAATATATGCTGCAGCAATTTTTTTCTGTGATATTGTAGCAAGCCATATGGTCGGTGATCAAATGATATTGGGTTGTTCTAGCGCTCATTTGTTAACTACACCTTAGCCCTCGTAGTGGCTGTGAGTCACTTGTTAATTAAAGTATTTTCACGTGCAGTTGAAAAGCATAATTGTGTTTTAGCCGCAAGAGATGAGGCAAAGCCAGGGTTACAAACATATGTGGTTTCTTACTGTGCGAGTGCCAAGTGGCAAGAAAGACTGAGTACAGAACTCACAGCAGTTACACACTCGAACCTGATTAAAACAAAGTTACATCTTTCACAAAAGTGAGTTCGTTATATCTGAAAACTCTATATGAAGGTTTATTCCTAACACTATATGTATTGCTAGACCATATTTTCATTTACTTCGTTATGACCAGTATTTCGTTATGTCTGGGTTCGTTATACCGAGGTTTTAATGTATAGGGATGAGCGCTGCACTTATTGGTGTGACACGTGCTTCACCGAACACCACGTTTCTCATGGCTGCAACAGATTTCTGGTGGTTTTTCTGAAGCTTCAGGGTACTGTCTTGTATGAAAGTGGTATCCTGACCCTGAACCAACGTGAATTCCTTGTTGTGTTTTGGCTAACTGCTACTTATGAGTTTTTGGGAAAATTAGTGGTGTGTATGCACAAATGCAAGCACCCACTTTATTGTGCAATTGAAATGTTTTTCTCTATGCCTATTTCTTTTAAAATCGTCCTTGGAATACATTTGACCGCCAATATTTTTCTGTGGTTTGGTCATTAACGAAATACCTTTTGTTGAAGGAGACGTCGGCATGCTGTTGTATAGCTAGAGGCACATTTGATGTTTGTTTTGGTGTCGTGCTATTCAAACGCAACTTAACAAGCTGGTAAAAATTTACCCATTTACTTGTTAAATGTGTGAGCGTGGGTGCCTTATTGTGGGTATTGCGAATCATTCTTTCCAATTTTGTAGGAAAATTACAGACATGCACACACAAATTCAAGTATGCATCTCATGATGTTGAATCTTTTCTTCTGCCTTGGCCATCTCATTTATATATGTAATCTGAGTGGACACCACTCATTCCATTCCATGATTACATCATTAACGAATGGCTCTTTGTAAACAAGGCACTGATACATTGTAAGATCACTTCAGCCACACTTAATGTTTGTCTTATGTGTCATTGTTCAAATGCAAATTAATGGGCTGTTAAAGGTGTCCCATCTTGTTAGTGAAGTGTTACATTTCATTGGAGACTATGCATTTCTCCTCTAAGATCGTGTTAGTGGTGTCTTCTGTTACGCTGTTTGGTGAACAAGAATATGTGGTCTTTTCATTTTAAGCTTGTACTTTTGCAACAACCATGTTCTGTACTTGTAAGCTTTCTGTAGCTTCTTTTGTTTTATTCTATGATTAATTTCACTATAGATGTATTCGTTGTCCACCTGCGCACAAGAATTTTCATTGTAAGAGTTAAGCATTCGAACTATCTTTCGCTTGCTGTAAATCTGTTTTTTCACACTCAATAAATTACTGTTTTTTTTGGTGAGTGGTATGGATTCTATTGTCACCGTAAAAGTCCTCAAATTACATCAGGAAGTTTAGTGGTAGCTCTTATATATGCTCATTTGTTATTGCCATGACGTACATCTGTACACAGAACTTTTATAAGCAACTGATCATTACTTGAAGAATGTGGGGATTCATCTTGCTGTTTAAATGTTTTTAATTAACTTTGCTGTAATCACTGTGTACCCAAGCTTAAATACACTGTTTTCAAAAAATCAGGCTTGGAAACAATTGAGTTCCATAAACCCGTAGACACATAAGACAGCCTTTTGATCGCATCTGCACCATTTTTCTTGCCGTAGGCTACGTCAAGATAATACTATTACTATGATAGTGCTACCTGTGTGGTCCATAAAGTACCAAGGGCACTACTTGTATAAGGTTAGCATTTCTTTTTTTAAAGCAAGATTCATTAAAGCTTTCCTTGATGCCATCAAGGGCTGCTTGTTTAAAGGTTCCTTAAAATATTTATGATGATGTCTTCACATTTCAAGTAAATACATGCCTAGAGTTCAGAATGCCATCTTGATCAACGATGCCAAACGTGTCAGTGCTGCGAGCCTTCTCCATGCCACTAATTCTGAGAAACAATCCCTGTGTTCTTCAGGCCATTTGTTTATCCCCAGCATTCACCGTCACCTAAACATTCACCTGTGGTTGGGTTAGGGGCCCTCTAAAGTGCTATGATGACCCAGATTACTGGATCGAGTCAAGGAAAAATTCAAGCTCTAGCTTTGCTGCTTTAAAGGGCCAGTAAACAACCCCGAGGTCCGAATGGAATGAAAAAACTTTATTTCAGTTCCACAGGACGCGCTTAGCCCATAGCGGACGTCTCCCACGTAGGGGACCTACAGGGAGTGCCTGGCGGCCGCTTCGTGAGCCTGCTGGACGGTCCATTGCTGGTCGGCGAGAATTGAGCTCCTGGGGGACCTCTCCCACTTGTTTGAGGTAGAGTCGGGAGGAGTGTTTCTACACTCTCAAAGCATGTGTGCGAGTGTCGCCGGGGTATGCATCAGGATAATAAACGTGAAGCGTGGCAAGGTTTGAGTACGTGTGTGTCTGTAATAGGCATAGGGTTAATGCCTGCGGTCTGTTAAGTTTCGGATGGGGGGGGGGGTGGAAAAATGCGGTATTCAAGGTAAAAAAGGTCCGAAAGTAGTTATAAAAATAAATATGTGCACTTTTGCTTTGCGAACATGCTGCCGCAAGAATTTTGCGGATGCATGCTATATTAAGGAAGTTACAGGGGATAGAACATCGGTTTCAGCTTGTTTCAAATTTTCACACGGCCTCGCCATCTTTCTCTCTCACAGGGCGGGGAAGGCGTAGCTCGTTGCCATGTCTGGCTTAGATCAATCGACGAGCTGCATGCTAGGTCAATTTGCCGATTGGAAACTTTGTGTCAATGCGCGTGAAAGGAGAATTGATCGGGCGAAGTAAAGGAATGCGGGAATTGTTTTTTGAAACGGAGGCACTGCGCGACACGCAGCGCTTCAATATTCGGAAAATGGGATCGCCATAGCTTACTCTACGAATCACTGAGCTTCTTTGGGATGCGTAAAAAAAAAAGTTGGAGTCTGTCGACTGGCCCTTTTAACTGTCCACATGATGTAGCCTATTGAACACAAAAAGCATTTGCCACAGAAAATGGGGAAAGAACAATGACGTCCCGCAGGGGCACCTGCAGTCTGCAGGGGATTGGTGTGTTGCGACACCACGGACCCAAACACCTGGGGCCTGGCAGTCCCATGGCTGTCTTTGAATGGCTAGGCATTGTCCAAGCTCGCTGAAAACATTCTTTCTAACTCTGTTGATGCTTTATATATGGACCTCTAAAGGGGTCCTGCACCACAGTCCTCGAATGACCTCGGCAGCAGAGTTTATTGCCTCACAAATCGATCATAGGTAAATTTTATTTAATCTGTCAAGTATGAGCATAGTTGCAGGTATTATTTGCGCTGCGTAAGTGCCGTCTTGTTTCTCTAATTTTAACAAACGTACTGCGAGCTTTATGTGGAAGGATGACAGGGGAGAATGAGGCTACATAATGGTACGTGTCATCAACTTAAGTGTGCACTGCGAAACACGATCGTTCGCTTTCTATGTTACTCCAGCGGGTGCAAGTGTCACTACAGTAGACTCTCGGTAAACAGAACCTAAAGGGACCGGAAAAATATGTTCGATTTAGCAGGTGTTCCGTTTACAAAGAGGTGAACATGGATGCAGAATACAAGCTCGAAACCAAGCATTGCAGAGGCAATAGTTCCGTTTGAGCAGTAGTTCTGTTTAACATATTTGCGTTTACTGAGTGTCTGCTGTAATTAGCGGACTACAGGTTGGGTTGTCCAGCACATGGCAGAACTGCATAAAAGAAATTCTATCTGATCCAAATGCCGCTCTTGCTTTATGTAAGCATTGGAGCATAGCAGCAATCTTCTTGGTGATGCAGTATCTGCCTTATGATGGCTCTCCGAAGAGTGCGAGTACAGGCCTTTCTACTGAGGAAACGCACTTGATAAAGTGGCTTCTTTGTGCCCCGCTATCGAACCTTCTTTGCTGCTTCCAACTGGTTGATTTGACTGAACTCTTCACAGCAGCGCCTGTTTTCTGCTGTGTGTCAAGAACCGAGCCAAGACGAGGTGCAGTTCTTGGTCCCTTTGAGGCATCACAGTAGAGAAAATGGACCGCTCCAGCTTGTCGTTGATTGCGTGACCCTCAGATTTTCTGCAGTATGTATTTGCAAATGTTGCAAAGATAGGCAACAAATGTTCGAGGTATTGTCGTCTAGCATGTAGTATACATGCTAGACGACAATAGCACTCCGACCTTCAAGCTATGCTTGGAGTCCGCTGAATATTTGTTCTAGATGGCTGCCAAAGGAAGAAGAGTGGTTTCACACTTGTTATTACCGTAAAGAATATGATAATGTTCCTTCTATGACACCGTTGTTAATTGTACCAAGTTTTATAAGAACTTTCATTTTAGCTGTTTGACTAATCTGTCAAGGATTGTCACAAAGAACTCCACTGCCTCTGGATAACTTAGGTACTGTTGGCAGAGCATCATTCATGACAAGCTGTCATTCATAGTAGCATTGACCACATTGACCAGTTCCTTGTTAAAAAAAAATGAGCAGATTTAAATAGGCCAGACGCTCACACGCCCTCATGTTATCTAGAACACATATTAGCATCCTTTTGTGCTGAAGGCCAAACAACTTTTATTTGCAGCAGATTGAGAAGCAAATAAAGGTTATAACTCCAAAAGGTTCTAAACAGATTTTTTTCGTTCTGAATAATCCGATGACTCTAGTGTGTTAAGGCTGTAAACAGCAAGGAAGCCAGTGCTGGTGTTTGTGATCAGTCCAGAGCGGCTCAAAGATCCAAAGGTTATCTTTTTCTGGGCAAATGCATTACCATGGCAGACTTGTACTATGTACATTACAGACGGTAAGCGGTGTTCGAACGTGCAACATTTTGAAATGTTAGTCAAATTTAAACTGTAGTGCTTACTTGTGCCCCTTGGGACCATAGCAGTGAGACCTGTTACCTCTTGTTGAAGTCATGTCTCTGGAAATGCCTTATCTCCCTGCATACGTGCCATCGTATATCTCAAGGTTACCATTAGCTTTTTGATAACACCACAGATGTACACGGGTACATGACTGACCCTGCAGTGATTGGAACATCTGAGCCGCAAAACAAAATTCTGCTTTGCATTATAATGGTGGCTTCTCAGTGCTGTATGGTGGTGAAACATTTTCTTCCTCTTTTTCCGCATGATAATGCTAAGTGAGTAGTTTTGTAAGCACTACATGGAAAAGGTAGCTGCACCCTTGCTTCCTCTAATACCATAATGAAGATGGCAATTGTTCTCAACTAAGCCATTCATTTTTTTATTTTGGATTGTGCATCAAAGCGTCTTTAAAGCTACTGAAAGAAAACGCATGCTTACTGAATCATAATGTGTCTACATTAGATGGCGCTACAATGATGCAGTGAGCGCTTTGATAAGACTCTAGCTAGGTGGGAATTCAAGTGCGATTGGCAGGCTCGATAATTTTACTTGTGGTTTGGTTTAGTGAAAATAATATTTTGTTCCTCTTTTTCTCTTTCTAGCCACGCATCGCAAAATGTTAAAGGACTCGTGAGTTCGCAATTGGATGAAGAACATCATATCGTGAATTACGGCAGCCTACCTTTCATGAAATCTGTGATGCTAATTTGAGTGAATTGCTGTATTCAGCTATTATCTTCTATATTTTCTGCCGATGCTTTCAGGTTCGCTTAGAACACAATACGATTTCATCTTTCTCTGTGATGCTAATGTGTCTGTTTTCTCTATATTTTAGCATATTCACCTTTTTGAGCCTATTTATAATTGTGCTGTTTTCTTTCGGTGCTTTTCGAGTGGAATTAATTTCCTTTAAAATTTTATGTATTGCAAGCATTGTTATCAATACAGCCACTTTAAACAAAGACACTGCAAATTTTTTTTTTTAATTCTGCTAAGTATTTACCAAGTTCTGTCTTTTTGTTCTGTTTCCCACTTGTTCGTGTTTGAAACCCTTTAAAAGGGCACTAAGGGCTAATAACAGTTTGTGCTTAATTGAAAGGTTGATGCTTTAGAACCTTCAAAATGTCAGTATTTGCACTACAGTGATTGAGAAAATAGGGTAAATGTACTACACAATGCACACCATCACCTGGCTGCTGTGGTCTAGCCATTATGGAGTTCGACTGCTAACCCGAGAGCCACGAGGTCAAATCCTGGACAGGCGACATGTTGGAGGCCCGTGTTCCTATACTTAGGTGTGGTCAAAATTTTCTGAGCCCTCCACTACAGTTCGCCTCATATTCAGCTCGTGGTTTGATAATTGGCTTTATTTTTCTCATATAAAAGGGGTTAGGAACCCCAGACCAAAAACTACAAAACTAGCTTGAATGCGCCTTAGGCCCAACAAAGAACACTGTAACGTGACAAAGTGGCAGAAGAAACTAGACACAGTCAATGAGCAAAAATTGAAATACATTGCACATATGGGTGTGCCATAACATACAAGAAATAAATTGAAAGGGTAGAAATGCAAGTTGCAACAAAAGCAAAGTACTCTGCTAGTATTACAAGGTCCATACAGTAACAAAAACAAGGGACCTATACACTATATTCTTTAGGTGTTTGGGTTAGTAGGTAACTATTGTCTTTTTCATATTTGTTCAAAATTGTTGGAAGTAGTGATTGAGGACATGAAACAACTGACAGTTGTTACTATTTGCACCATAAGTAGGACATTCTAGAACAAGAGCCTCCTTGCTCGAATATACTTGGTACCATTATTAACCATTGCTCAAACTACCTATGATGAAAAAGAACATCGCAGTGCATTACAAGACGGAACAAAATTTGGCTTGTGCATTTCTATTTGATACATGGAAGGAAACAACTTTGTGTTATCGTGGGGAATGAGGTGGGTGGTCTAAAAGCTATGTTTTCACCTGGCTCTGTTCTGCTGGCACGGTCCTGTCTCAATTGTTATTTTATTACTGACCACAGATGCGTAGTGGAGCGCGGGTGAGAAAAATGCTGTCACTAGGCCTTTCGAAGGTGGCGGATTGAAGTGTACTGCTGGTATGCAAACCACTACAATATGGTTTACTTTCAAATTAGGCATTTCCTTGGCATGAATCAAGGCCTACAATGTCCTTGAAGCTCTATTTCAACAGTCCACACCGACCTGACATTTGCTTTTGGTGCCCCTTTAAAAAATACGCATCCTGATAATTCTAGTGCTGAAGTTCTACTGTTCTTAATTATGTTATTCAAAGTTCAATACGTTCTGCTATGTTTCTTTTTAAAACATGTTAATGCATGTAATGTCTAACCAAAATATATCGAACCTGAAGGAGGTGACAAGAAAGTTATGTATATGTAATTCTGTATTTATAGATTTCATATGCTTCAAAATATATCACAGGTGATTTTGCAACTGTTCAGTCTACACGATACTTTGTTTTACGTGGGTTCTGTTGTAAAGGGATGTTAAAATATGTCGTTGCACTTTATCTGGGCTGTAGAAGGGCAAGAGTTAATATTTAATGACAATGCTCTTTGTGACAATGCCTTTCACTGACTTGGTCCTTTAGTAGTGGCATGGATGTATGTCGAGCAAAGGTAAATTTCTAGCCGGCTCTATCTTGTCTGAAATTGCCTTGCAGTCTTTTTCAGGGAAAAATTAGGGTCAGCAAACATCAGAATCTTCTCATTTCTTTGATGGTTTCTAACAACAGCTACAGTGGCTGCATTCCACTGATGAAAAAAATACGAAAACAATTTAGTTCAATTTTTATACACATTAAAGAACCCTAGGTGGTTTAAAGGGAGTACTGACTCGAGCTTTAGAACTTTTTTTTTCTTCATTGCTCAAAATTAAAGCACTGTTGCTGAGAATAATAAAAAGAGTATTACTGTACTTCGGAACGCATTTGAATATATTTTTAATACAGCTTCCTTAGAAAGGCATTTTTGGTTTTTAAGGGGGGCTTGTATGGCAGTGACATGTAAACACAGTGAGGTGTAAATCTAGATTATGTGGGGACAGCAACTGCTGACATATTAGCAGTCCTCGAGTCTGCTGTCAGTGGTATGTGTTACACGTAAACGAGGAGCAAAATAATTTTTAACAACTCTGAGAGCAGTTTTGGCCACATCCAGGAGGCATAGTTAGTAAACCAAACAAACTTCATCATGGTTGTCAGCAGAAGTTTCTCTAGGGAGGCCCAAATGAGTGTTTTATTGAGGTTAATAGAGAGAGAGAGCAGTGGTGTAGATCGGGTGAGGGCAAGGGCTGACGAGGCTTTAGGAGGGGCACAGACCACTCTTGCATTCCCCTGTTGATGCCCATGAACTGCATTGATTTGTCATGATGAAGTTCATTGTGGTGGGGTTGATTTGTAGATGCTGGGCAACAAAAACTGTAAAATTGATGTGTTTTTCTGGCTTCGGTATGTAGAGAGTGTCAACGCTGCTTGCCAAGAAAACCAAAACTATGCCTTTTGCGATGCCTAGAAGTTGTGTTGATACTCTTTTAAGTTCGCTTAGCTCTTCTCGCTGGGTCATGATTTATAATCATAGAGTACTGCAATTGCTGTGTAAATCCATAAAATTTGTTTTCCTTTTTGAATAAAGAGCAGTACTTAAGTAACATGTCTTTGTTTTCTTTGTGCAGCTTGGGCATCCAGCCACCCAGCAACTGCGAGTGCTGAGAAGCCCCAAGGGGAACGCCGTTATCGCTGTAACTTGTGTGGCTACAACACCCACAATGTAGCCCACCTCAGACGACACATCAGGGTTCATACGGGCGAGCGGCCGTATAAGTGCGAATTATGCCGTGAGGGCTTCAAGCAGAGGTCTGCACTGGACGTTCACCTGCGCACCCACACTGGCGAGCGGCCGTACAAGTGTCACCTGTGCTCCCAGAGCTTCTCACTGAACTGCTCACTGAAGAACCATGTGCGCATCCATACGGGCGAGCGGCCATATGAGTGCCCATTATGCCCCCAGACATTCAGGACAAGACACTGCCTCACGAGACACATGCGCCAGCATATGCGGAAGTGACCATCGAAGTGTAAGTTCTGCTCTCTGAGTTTTCTCAAGACAAGTTTATAATACCTCACAACAGTAGCTAGACACTCAATTAATGAAATATAACAGGCAATCATGCCGAGGAAAGTACATTCAAACCTCGATATTATAAACCTAGGTATAACGAAATATTGGTTATAATGAAGTAAAAAAAAAGGCTTGCAACTGATAAAGTGTCAGGAATACCCTTTATAAGAAATATTAAGACATAACGAGCTTATTCTTATGTAAAATGCAACTCTGTTATAATAAGGTTTGAGTGTATAGGGATGTTATTAGAAGTAACATTAAGGTAAATTTGAAGAAATAAAAGTGGACAAAAAGATAACTTACCGTGGCCCTGCCCACTGCAGGTCATCGTTTCGTTCACTTTTCTTTCTTCACATTTACCTTATAATTATTTCTAATAACATCCCCCTATACATTCCTTGGCATGATTGTCTGTTAGATCTCATTATTATTGTGTCTAATGAAAGGAAAACGAGCCCTTATATGTGCACTTATTTCCCTGCAAGTGTTGTTGGCGTCGTATGTGTGACGGCAGAAAAAACCCAGCACATGTGAGTGCATAGAAAAGCAACCTTAAAAGATATGACGGTCGCATGTGTATTTGTAAGTGCCATTTTCAATAATCGATGCTCTTGATCATGGGCTTATTGCTGATCAAATTGTAATGATATTGAAATGTGATCTTTTACTGAGGTGACCTTTTGTGCCGCGTTATCACATTTCATTATTACGTTGATATGAACGCATGACCATCATTGTTATCAGTAGTAACCAAAGTGTTGCACTGTTAAAGGGTCGACTGCAACACTTTTTCAAGTAATTATCGAATCGCTTCATTAAGGGAGCTTATTATCTCACAAATTGATTTCAGCAAAAGATTTTAGAATCCGTGAAGTCGAAGCAGAGTTGCGTGGATTTGTCGCACACTGAAAGCTATGCAATGGTGGGGGCAGGCTATGAAAAGGGGGCAATGGGCCACGTTCATTTGTCAGTGAACATCTCGACCTTAAGCACTTTCCTTCCTTTTTTTTCCCCTCGTGCGTAGCATACTTTTAGTGTGATCACGAGCAAGCACGTGGACACCTGGCATCATGCCGCGGTGGCCGCTATGCAGCTTGTAATGCTTGAATCAGTCAATGGTCATGGAGTTCTGGATCTGTCCGTGCCTTCATTTGTCGAGAAAATAGCTAGCGATTTTTAGTGGACTTAATTAATTGTATATTACGGGCCACCGGTTATGCCATAACGTCTGGCTCGCATGTTTTCTGGAGCCTAAACCACTGAGAGGCAGCATTGTCTGGCAGCACTAATGATTTTAACAAAGCTCCAATTCAGGCTAGTTGGTACGTCATTGTAATGTAGTTGTGCTAAGCAAAAGGCATGAGCGCCTAATGAAACAAGAGGACAAGACAAGCGCTGCACACCAGCTGTCTTGATATATACTGAGTACTTGCAGCACTCAGCAACGAGGACAAAGAACACACCAGAGAGATGGACTTGTGATGCCTCACTCCCTAAGTATATATTGAGACATGTACCGACCAACCACTAACCAACCCATCAACAAATTTAAAATTTAACCTGTCCTGTAATCTTGTTTCAGTAGCTGTTCATACATTTCGCTCAGTGAAACTACATAGGCTCAAACCTCATTATAACTAAGTTACATGTTACACGAAAATAAGTTTGCTCTAGCCAAAAATTTGTTGTAAAGGTATATTCTAACATTGTATCTGTTGCGAGACTGTTCTTTATTTACTTCATTATAACCAATACTTTGTTATACATGGGTTCATTATATCGAGGTTTGAGTGCATTAAAAAATTTTAAAAGTGTTGCAGGGTCCAATTAAATGTTGAATAATGATCCAATTCCTGGCATTGTGCAATGCTACACAAAAAAAGAAAGAAAGCTTGTACATCAGGTGCACGCACTTCGCTTGCCACGCATTCTCGTGATAAGGCAATCAAGGCCTAGCTCCTGAGTTTTTTTGGGAAGACTCATTTCACAATTTTTTTTTTTCCGTTTTCTTCACCGTTCTACCAAGCATAATTGCATGCAATATGTACATAAGCACAGACCTTATTAGCTATTGGCAGTCACTCAAGTCAGTTGCCAACAAGAATAGTAAGTGATGCAGGGGTTTTACGTGCCAAACCCACGACACGATTATCAGGCATGCCATAGTGGGAGACTCTTGAGTTAATTTTTTGGTTGTTTAACATGCACCCAGTTGTGGTTGTTTAACATGCACTTTGGTTGTTTAATATGTACCCAAATATAAGCACGCCCTGCAGGTGTTCCTTACACTTTGTTCTTGTCGAGATGCGACTGCAGGGCCCGGAATCTAATTCGCGCCCTAGAGTTCTAAGAAGGGCTGAGCTGCTTTCTTTTGATGCGCTCACGTTTAACCAGAAAAGACATTTAGCGACGCTCGACACGGAACGTGCCGCAATGTATTAGAAGCTTTGGGGCTGTTTGAGCTCATTTTGGTAAGATAGCATGCAGAATGTGAATAGTCAGGTTTATTCGAGAGCTTACATGAGCAGCTGCAAGAAAAGCGCTGTTCAATGTTGCATGTATAAACGCTGACACACCCCACCACAAATCAGATTATCGACAGGCAAAGCTCTGTTCGCCTGCTATCAGTTTACAGCGTGTACTGCGTGCAATAAGACTTTTGGTTTCTTGGGCACATGTTCGCCTGATTAATAAGTTTCGTCTGGAAACAGCCGAGTGCTGTCTTCTTCAGTGTGTCTCTTCAAGACTATTTGTCTTCTTCAAGACTATTTGCATGAACAACAGACTTGTGGAGTCTTTACAGACTGTTAATATTGTTGCAGTTTTATAGCGATGAAGACAAGATGCTTGCTAAAGCATTGGCAGAAATTCTACACTTGGGCAGTATTGCGTCTGCCGGACTTGGGCCAGCCGGACTTTGGCCATTTCTATGTGCTATTGGCAAGGAAAGTACCACAAATACTGAGCTAACAGTAAATTAGGCATCATTGTTACCCAAGAGCATTGCTGTGGTTAATAGTACATTAGACAGGGAGCATTTTGGCACAAATTTCAGAATAATTTTGCCTTTTTTTTTTATTGATACTTGCTGCCACCAGATACTATTGCTTTTCATATGAGTGGGCTGCTGAATACGATATTGGAATTAGTATAGCGTGATTGACTACAGTAAGCGGATAACTGTGCACATTGCAATTACAGTTACTCTCTGTAAAATAGACCATAATTTATACTAACACTTCCACATTCTTCAGGTTTGGTCTCCCAAACCTTGGCACCAAACACATCGCAAAAAGTTTACGTAGGGAGCTCAGAATTTCAATGATATTTATCTATTCCTTCACACTGTATCAACATCTTTATGGCTGTTTATATTGCATGTCCTTTTATTCACTTTTGGTAATATTTTGTTACATCTTTCTTTCCGCAGGTGCTCATTACCAAATATCAATGGACTCTCACTCACAGTTGGATGGAGAACATATACTACGTAGTCATGATGCTGCCATTTACTTTTTGCCGAATATGCCATGCTACTTTGTGTTAATGGCTGTATTTTGTAATCATCCTGCATATTAGTGACTGGTGCTTTTAATGGTTTGCTTAGTGTGGGATTCGATTTCATCTTTTCCTGTTATTCTCAGGTACTTGTTCTCAATAGGTTCTACTACATTCACTTGTCGGAGCTTCTTGAATATCGCTTCATTGTTTAGATGTCCCAAAAATGTGGAGTTGATAGAACTGGAATGTTCGTCATGTAAGCATCACGGTATTAATCCAATTGCATAAGGAAATGCAATCCATAAAATGTGGTCTTTGACTCCATTAGGCATTTGTTTAATTCTGTCTTTTTGTTTGTTTCTTGACTTGCACACTTCCTTGATGTTTGATGACAACTCCAAAATGACGGACATTGCCATTGTGGGTAATATGCAAAATTATTTCTGCACTCACATATAGGTACACTACTTTAAAGAAAACTGTGTGGCCTTATATTATGATTCCCCTCTATGGCATGACTGATAACAATAGAATCACATTGCCCTGTAAACCCAGTATTCGAATATTTTTCTTTACACTTGAAAAGCAATACTTGATAAAATGTTGCTTTCTGTTTTTGTTTTTTTCTTCTAGAATCGAAGCCTTTTAGCCATCCTGAAATGACAGGCACTGAGACACAAGGTCAGGGAATGCCGTTACCACTGTAACATTTGTGGCCTCGAGGCTCGCTATCTCTCTCATCTGAAAGCTCACATGAGAGTTCACACTGGCGAGCGGCCCTATGAATGCCACTTGTGCCCCGAGAACTACTGCCGAAAGTCCGCGCTGGACTATCACCTACGCACCCACACGGGCGAACGGCCGTACAAGTGCAATGTCTGCCTCCAAAAGTTTTCAAGAAAGTCTACCTTGAATGACCACGCGCGCCGCCACACGGATGAGCGGCCTTATAAGTGCCACTTCTGCGCCAAGGCCTTCAGGCAGAGGTACTCGCTGAATGTGCACCTGCTCGCGCACACGGGTGAGCGGCCGTACCGCTGCTCTTCGTGCCCCTTCACATTTAAGCGAAATGCATCTCTCAAAAGACACCTACTTGTGCATCATTGACAGTGTCTGTTTTTGTTAAAGTTCTGGAGTCCGAGCTTTAGGAAAATGCCAGGCCTGTGCTGAAAGCACAGCACAGTCTCATTGAAAGCTGGAAGAGCGGCATTTTTAGAGCCTATTGTAGACTATCCTGGGGCAACTAATGCAAGTACGCTTGCAAGCTACCCCCTATGACATAAAGCATGGGTGGCTGATGACAAAGAACAATTATGGCTCAGCCCCTTGTAATGGGTTGGAAGCATTCAACGACTGACGCAAAAGTAGGTATTGGGCTAGTTGGTTTTTAACGGTCAAGATATACTGTGCTACAGTTACTGCGAAATACGAAGTTAACGAGGATACATGAAACGAAGTGGACACTACAAGCGTAAACTATCAACTGTATTTATATATTAAAAAAAAACTTGAAGGTTAGAAGACTTTCAGGAAGGGGGAAAGATCGGTTTACAATTAGGGTGGGGGGTAGGAAGGTAGGCGGGAAACTTGCTGAATTGTCTTCAGCTGCTACACGTCGGATGATTATGATTACCAGATGTGGTGATGACTCAAAATTTTTTCCAAGTGTGCTGATTCAATTGCTATATGGGGCTTCTGATGAATTTGATTTCCGTAGGGGTTAGTAGAATGGAGCCTGAAATGATGCATGCTTTTTCTTGGTCCAATATGTGAAAGGCTTCGCGAATTTCGCGTGTAGTCTTGTTCATTGATTTGGCGAAAACTGACTTTTTTTTTTAACATTGGGCTGCACCAACACTCTCTGCAGTGCATGGAAAGGTTACCTGTCATTTCTGCTTGCTGGCATGCATAGCGATGCTCTTTGAGCTGTTCATTGAGGCTTCTTCCCAATTGCCCAACATATACCTTGCCACATATTAGTGGGATAGTATATACGATGTCTATTTCACATTCAACATATTAGTGTTGGACGAATTTTTTGGCAACAAAGAAGCTTTCTTTCTGAGAAATCCATAAGGGTTTTCATGTGGCCTCATGCTACTATGGTGGCTGTCAATACCCTTATTCCACGTTGTGGGATTCCGTAGAAGTTATCTGCAGTAATGTGTGTGAACTTTGTGTTTTTGTAAAGGCTTCTTCTTTTGTAAAGGTCCTTCTCTACAACATCGTGTGCTATGTTCACTGACTCCGCCTGATCTTTGCTCATCTAATGTTGCAACTTGCAATATCTCAGAGAAATGAAATGTAATGCATTAGCTCACGTCTGTTTGCATACTTCATTAGTGCAGCATTGTGAAATCGAGTCTTTGATGTCGTCGAGTTACGTTCGTGTTTTCTTGTACACCCGCAAAACCATGCTAATTATATGGAAACATGCAATTCCGATGAAACTACAGATCTTAGTTTGTAGATTCGAAGACAAAGATGCCAACCACAAGAAAAAATAATTTTATTCACGGGTTCTGTTGTATTTAAATGTAAACAAGGCCACTTTTGTTAAATGCTGCAGTGTTTTGTTTTACTAAGATTGCAGCAAGTCATAGCATCTTTTCATCTTGTGACATTACTTCCGAAAGGCACTAAATTTAATACTATAGCTTTAATTCAACTCTTTCAGAACTCATGCATGTATTCTGCTCATGGTAAATACTTAGTTCGGTATCTCACTAGTACATTCTCTTGACTTTTGACCATGTTAACATTCCTAGAAATTAGATGTTTACATTTACATTGTGAGTGCATGTGTTTTTCGAAACATTTAATGTAGTGATTTGTAGGAAAGTCGTGTGTTGACTTATAACCAGCACAGATGCCTTATTGTGCGTGAGACAAGCACCATCTCCTGGCTTTCAAGAATAATAGTAAATTTAATAATAACATGTAATTAACTCGTACAAAAATGCAAATTATAGAACTGCTAAAACTGATATGCTTATTTGTAGAATGTCAATTTTTCTTAGGGACTGTGTCTTTGTTACTTCTACATATGTATGATGAGTGCCGTCTACTGTGTTGCTTGGCGAAACATAAGATGTGGTATTATAGTTAGTTTCTTTGCCTCTGCATTACGTACATGTCGGTCGTGTCAGATTTTTTTTCACATATTATTATTATATTATTATGTTTCAGCTTTGTGATTATCCTCTTGCTTACAAAATATTGCTGCACATATTGACTATCTGTTATGTGATCGTGCTGTAAATCTGTCACCTGACACTAAATAAATTACTGTTTTGTGAATATTAAATACATTCTTGATATTTCATTCCTCGTACTAAATCTATATGAGACCGTTAGCACTCCATTATGCTCAATGTCACAAAGGAAGTTGAGTCATTGTTGTACTTGCACTAGCAAATTTCTTTCAATTACAATCACTGTTGTATAAACCATAATTAAATATTATTTAATTAGCATAATTATGCAAAACACTATTTTAAAGCAATTGGACATACTAAGCACAACAAGTTGGGCAATGCAGTAGTGTGTCATATCTGGTGGTAGCATGGTGGGCTTGGCTGGTTCATATTCATTATAATTCCCTGTATCAAGACTGGATGGAAGAGGAGAAAATATTCAAGCGTAAGGTTTACTATAGTGTAGTGGCCATCGGCCCAGTGTCAAACTGTTGACAATGGACATGCTATAACTGCACATCAAGCATAATTTTGGCCTAATGATTGCCATAGTGCTTTGCAAAAACTGCACCATTGCAGCTTGTCATTCTAGTGTTCACCCACTTCTTGCTGTACCAGGAGAAGAATAGTGTGCTTATGCTGCTCACTGTTACAGGCTGTTAAACGTAGCGAAGCATCTAAGCTTCTTCAAAAACTCACTGAAGTTGCAGCGTTGGAAGAGCTGATTGCAAACTGGCACTGAGAGATGATTGATTGCATGGTATTTACTGCCGTGATCGCCAAAAGTAATTCTTATGCAGCTTCAGCCTTCAGTTCAGACGTTGCTGCTGCGACTGGAACTTCCACATGAAACCTTGCTCTGTGCATGACGATAATTAGAGCACGAGAGCAGAACGACGACAAAGAGACACGAAGGAGACGGTCTGCTATCGCGCTAAACTATCGTCATGTCATACCAACTAGCCCTAACCGCCACACTTCTATGCTCTGTGCAGTGCAGGTAATGTACGACTTCTGGATTATAATGATGTGGATAGCGAGCATGCCTTGATGAACGATTGCCATTTACATGCTCCGGTACATCAGTATAAGCTGCTACAGATTCCTCACCAATGAAGCTGAGGAGCACACGGCACGGTGGTCACCTAAATTTTGGCAAAAAGGGACAGAAAGGCACAAATTTTCGTGAAAGTTTTACATTTGAGAAGCACGCATTCTTTTGCTTCTAGATGAGCAGTCTCTGGCTTGTGGCATGCACTTGGCATTTTGTGCAAAATCTTGATGTGAGGGCTGACCTCCCCAGAAACATATTGGTCCTGATTCGATCCTAGACCAGGACGCACTTTTCCACAACAAAGAAGCCTTCTTTCAATAAATTCGTATGTATTTCTTTCCTTTCGTGCTACATTCTGCTGGTTGCCAACTTCTCTTTCTTAACCCCTTTACCACCTTGCGGGATTTGACAGAGGCAATCTGCAATCTTGAGGAGCCATCTGAACAGCATACATCCTTTTAACGCGATAGCGTTAAAGAGCTCGTGTCGCAGAAAATTCGGCGTCGACGCCGTTGGTTGTGAGCGAAAAACTGTCTGTGCGTCTGTGACCGAAAAATCAAGCTACCGAGATAGCCGCGGGAGACCGCTACTTCTCCACGCGTGTGCGCGCGATCACACTGGAGAAAAGCCACGCATTGGAAGAAAAAAAAAAGTGCTCAAGGTCACGCGGCGCGGTAGTTTCTTTGCCCTGCCACCCCTCCCTGCTTAGCTTCCAGCGCTTTCGTTGGAACGACAGAAGAGAGAATGCAATTGCAGCATGCGACATACCTTTCTAACTCCACTCGCACGCGACGGATTCTTAAAATGTTTGCGGTGTTGAATTCGTGAGGCAATAAGCTTTTCTAGTGAATTCATTCTATTGTTACTTAAAAAAGTGTTTTAGGACCCCTTTAGCGCATTTTTTTTTTTTCGACAGGTGTCCCGACGAAAACGAGCCAATTCGGCGATAATAGCGCGCGCTGGTCCTATCTGCTGTGTGCGTGCGTGTGTATGTGCGTGCTGTACACGTCCTTTGTGTCCTCCTTGTCTCTGTGTCGTCGCTCTGTTCTCGCGCTATAACTATCGCCATGTCACACCAACTAGCCCAAGCTTCCATACGTTGGGGCGCTTGCTAAAGAAGTGAGCCACAATTTTCTAGCTCACGGTAGTTGCATCCATTATTGCTTTGCGCTTGTGGCGAAACAGACTTTATTTTAGTCGCCGAAGCATTGGCAGCTAGAAGGCTGCGATACACCGCATAAATTATTTCATTTTTGTTTCATTTTCTTCTATTCTTTTTTTTTTTTTTGCTTAACGGGAAAGCATAATCATCATTATCACCGTGGAGGTGTTCTGTGGTGTAGCGCGACGAGCGTTTGGTTCTTTTTTTCCGTTAGAGCTGCGAGATACTCATTTCGACGAATTTGTTGGTGATTCTGAATATTTATGACCGTACATACGGCTGTTCTGTGTTCACCCGCTACGTGAAGAGCCAACGAAAAACCCCCACTTCACAAGCGAATCGAGAAAGAAGCGCAAGTTTTGCGGGAATCGGCAGAATCAGTGCGTCAAACACGGAGGAAGGAAGCTGCGAGTGCGAGCAACGTGAAAAACGGCGATTTTGAGCACGAAGCCTCTTTTTTCATGTTGTTAGTGCCGAATTTGCCGGAGCTGTAACACGTATACCGTGCCGATCCGGATCGGATCTCTTGATCTCGGTTGGTGGTTGCTATGTGCGCATCCGTCAAAGAGCGATCTGGCTGCTGGATTGTGATGCCCAGGTGGCTATCC